CCCCCAACTCCTGAGCTCCCCCACTTCAGAGGCCATCATCATGGACCAGTTTCTTGTGTGTCTCTCAAGGCATATTCTAGGTGTATACAAGTATAACATATTATCATATTTTAATACATACGAGAGCACTGTTATTGCTTTTCCAATAAATAATAGATCTTGGAGAGCATTCTATATTTGTACTAATGCATTGACCTTATTAATTTCCTTGAATCTTATTCTTTCTAACAGCTGCATAGTATTCTTGATATAGATATAGCACTGATTATTTAACCAGATCCTTTCTGGTGGGAATTTAAGTTATTTCCAGTCTTTGGCCATTGTAAACAATGCTGTAATAAACATCTATGCACATACTTCTTTTCTTCTTATGAGGCAGACACTATCTCACCTCTTAAAGTTGGAACGCAAAGACCATCCTTATGGTCTAGTGCAGCACCACCGGGGAGGAGCTGGGAAACCTGCATTCCAGTCCTGACTCAACCACTAATGCCCTTTGCATCCAAATACAAATCCCTTTATCTCTCTGTATGACTCGAGTTCCTGGCTTGTCAGGCAACAATAATTGTACCTGCTGTAAATGGTCTCACAAGGGCATTCTGAGAGTCAAGTGAGATAATGTACATGAAAGCTTGTGAGTGCTGTATTAATACACAAGTCTCCCATCTGGCTATTTGCTAAACCTACAACTGATATGTGCTCTGTGAGCATGCTCATCCATCTTCCCCACGGTGCCTGCTATAGCCACTGCCCCTCCTCAGGGAAACTGGCCCACTAGACAGCTCCTGCTTGCAGATGACCAAAGGCTGGTGTGCATTGGACTGTATGATCCTGCCTTCCCCATCTTTCCACTTCCTCACTGTTCACTAAACTGGGCTGGGGACCTTCCTAATCTATAGGCTGCCCAGTGGCTGGAATGAAAAGCTCTGCTCAAATAGAGACAAACTAGGTCATTCTGATTCTTGCTTTTGCAAAAGTCAAGCAGGAAATCATGAGTGAAGCAGACTGTTAGGACAGACATGACACTGTAGGATGCACAGGCAGAAGCCAGGCAGTCAGACCATGAAGCGTCATTAGCAAGCTGAAGTTATGAGTAAGTTGAAATTGCAGAAGCAGAAACCTTACAAACACTGAAGCTATGAGGTAGGAAAAAAGTGAGGAAGGATATTGGCAAGAAGTGAGAGGAGACAGAGAAGCAGAGACACCAAAATCAGCTGCATTACAAACTGCAGATGTACCAGCCATGGCTACCGACTGGATCCCCACAGTTGTCCTGGGTCCAGCATAGCCTCTGTGAGGGCCAGTCATTCCCCGTGCCTGTTTCTGGGCTCCCATGTGATTTGGTCTCCCTTGTTCCGTCATGACACTTTACTGTAACCTCCCTTTTCCTGAGCTAAGTGGGGGAGGGGGAAGGGCAGAGGGAGATTTTCATGGCTGCCAAGAGTGCCACATCAACCCAAGGCTCATAGACATTATCTCCCCAACTTCCTGAGGTGTTTCCCAAAGGACAGGTTTGTGATGCTCTCTCCTTGGAAAGGGGATAGTCCCAACCTCTGCTTTGCTTTTGGAATGCACTGCTTTGCTTAATGAATTAATGAATTTCATGGAGGTCAGTGTAGGGGGAGGGTAGAGCAGGCAGAGAGCAGAAATGGAGAGGCAACTGGATTATAATTATCCATTGGGGCTTTGCTCATGCTGATCCTTTCTTTTACCCAAATTCCATCCACCTTTCTTGTCACCTCTTCCACCAAATCTTCCCCAGCTCCTCTAGCCATATTAGCTCTGCCCTTCTTGACTACTGTGGTAGATTGCCTTATTGGCCCCAATTCTTCATCCTGCCCAGTATCCACACCTTTTACCATATGTCTTTGCAGTTCTTGCAACTAAAGGGGCAGAGTACATTTCCTCATCATTTAACTCTATGTTTAGCCCAAGGTGCCATGTCTTTGGGACAGTCTGTGTCCATAAGAAGCCCCCAAGGTAGCAGGTGACTCTTAACCTGGTAGTTTATTTCTTTACTTTTAATTTTTTATTATGAAGAATTCCAAATACAAAATCAGAGAAAATAGTAAAACTTCCGTGATTGGCTTTGGCCAACAGAATAAAAGGGAAGTGGCGGTATACCAGTTCCAGGACTCTTGTGCCTCTACAACTGCTATGAAAAGAGCATTCCCAGGCTAGCCCACTGTTCCTGCGAAGAGGATGAGAGGCACGTGGAGAAGACCTGCCTTGGCCAGGCCCTCCAGTTGAGCCACCCTAGATCAGCAAACTCTTAGATCCCTGAGCTAAATGGATGCTTATTTTTGAATGCTCCTGAGACTTTCAGCTTGTTTGACATACAGCAAAAGCAGATACAACTGCCAATAGCACTTATTGTACATTTCAGTACTTGATGATATTTAACAGCAGTTGATTATTTAGCCATATATAATCGTTCCTTTGTGCAGCCTCTCCTAGCTAAGATCACCAGATTTAGCAAATGAAAATACAGGATGCCCAGTTAAATTTGGATTTCAGATAAATAATGAATAATTTTTTAGTATGTCTCATGCAATTTTTAGAACATATTTGTACTAAAAATTATTCGTTATTTATCTGAAATCCAAATTTAACTGGGCATCCTGAATTTATCTGGCAACCCTACTCTTAGTCCTTGAGGCAGGATAGACATCTTACACAGTAATAATGAGACAGTTCCTGTGGTTACCACCATAATGCCAGGAAAGGAATATCATGGTTCAGTTAAAGTAGATGTTCAAGGAGGACAGAAGGTAGAGATTGAGTACTATCTTCTCTCCAGCGACAAACCTACCCCATTTTAATAATAAGGATGTCTCAGTCTCTGAGTGCTGCTGTAACAAAAACTACCACAAGTGCGTGGATTTAAAGAACAGAAATTTATTGTCTCACAGTTCAGGAGGCTAGAAGTTCAAATTCAAGGTATGGCTGTAGGAGAGGTCCTTCTTTGTCTGTTTCAGCTTCTAGTAGCTGCCAGCAATCCTTGGCATTCCTGGGCTTGTAGATGCATCTGCTGTATGTATCTGTCTTCACATGGCATCTTCCCCCTGTGTGTGTTTCTGCGTCTGTTCTGCTCTTTTTATAACTCAGATGTGATTAGCTTTAGGACCCTCCCTAGTCTGGTAAGGCCTCATAACATAACAAAAGAAAACTTCTATTTCCAAAAAGGGTTATATTTACAAGTGCAGGGTTAGGATTTCAGCATAACTTTTTGAGGGACACACCTCCATCCATACCATTTACTTAGCCTGTGTAAGGGCAGGCAGTGGGCTAAATACACTGTCTTATTTTGTCATCATATCAATGCTGCAATGCAGAGGGAGAAAAAAAACCCACTGCCATTGAATTGATTCTGACTCACACCAACCCCATATGTTACAGTGTAGAACTACTCCATGGGGTTTTCTTGGCTGTAATTTTTTACAAAATCAGATCACCAGCCTTTCTTCCACAGTGCCACTGGGTGGGTTCGAACCGCCAACCTTTAGGTTAGGAGATGAGTGCAAACCATTTGCACCACCCAGGGACCTTAGGGAAGTGGTTAAATTATTACCCTCATTTAAAAACGAGTATGCTAGGGATACAGTCATAGAAACCTCTTATGTACAGCCAAACACTTCCCGGGATGAAGATACTAGGCTTGAAGGTGACGGACCATAGACTTAGGGGACATCTACATCAATTGGCATAACATAGTGCATAAAGACAATGTTCTACATCCCACTTTGGTGAGTAGGTTCCGGGGTCTTAAAAGTTTGCAAGCGGCCATCTAAGATACAACTAGTGGTCACTTCCCATCTGGAGTAAAGGAAAGTGAAGAAAACCAAAGACTCAAGGGCGCAATTAGTCCAAAGGACTAATGGACCACATGCACCACAGCCTACACGACCCCAAGACCAGAAGAACTAGATGGCGCCCGGCTACCACCACCAACCAGTCTGACCATAGAGGACCCCGGACAGAGCAGGAGAAAAATGTAGAACAAAAAACCAAGTTCATAAAAAAAAAGAAAAGACCAGACTTACTGGATGGATAGAGGCGGGAGGAACCCCCGACACTGGAGGAACCCCCGAGACTATGACACCCCTCTGACTTGGAACTGTAGCCATTCCCAGATACCACCTTCCAGCCAAGCAATAGACAGCCTATAAATTAAACAATAACACCCGAAAAGAACGTGCTCCATAGAACAATCATATGAGACCAAAAGGGCAACATGTGCCCAAAAGCATAGATCAGAAGGCAGGAAGGGATAAGAAAACCAGGTGAAAGGGAACCGGGAAGCCAGGGCAGAAATGGGAAGCGTGTTGACACACAGTGTGGGGATTGCAACCAATGTCATGGAACACTTTGTGTACAATTTGTTGATTGGGAAACTAATTTGCTCTGTAAACTTTCATCTAAAACGCAATAATTTTTTTTTTTTAAATGAGTACACTGAGCATCGCAGGGGTAAAGTAACATTCCCTTGGTCATACAGCTGGAGAGACTAGCAAAGCTAGCCTTCAAACGCAGCTTTTTCTCTTTCCACAATGCAACACTGCCTCCAACTACCAAAAATGTTTTGCTGTGGTTTTCACAGAACTGAAGATGGCACCTTTTCTGGTCCCCCTCAATCCTTTCTATAGCACCTAGGAGTATAAATAACCAGGGATTGTGGAGCTAATTGTGGCTCAACCCAATACAATCTGCATTTAAAAGCGGGACCCAAAGGAATGGATTTCAAATGGTGGAATTCTAGTTTTCAAAGCAGTCCCTAGTGGTGGGAAAGTGCCTCCCTGCAGCTCTTTATAACAGCACCTCAAAGGTATCACACTCTCTGCCAAACAGACCCTAGCAACTGGTAGAATGTGGGCTATTATGAGGACAGGGGATTGTGATGGTGGCTGGGCTGTGGAGTCTGGTGAGCTCAAATGCTAGTGCCTCAAAAGAGGCCCCTGTCAGCAACATTGGCCCCCATCAGCAACATTGTGGTCTCCTGAATGACAACTGAGGACAGGGAAGTGATGGAAGCCCGGGGGGCGGGAGAAAGCTGCCCAACCTTCCCCAAGATGGCGCCTGGTGATCCCATTGCTGAAGGGAAGTCAAAGGCTTCTTTGGTAAGGGGGAAGCCGGGTCTCACTGTCTAGCCTGGTCATTCAGGGGGAGGGCAGGTACACTGGGGACATGTTATAGGAGCTGAATACTATGAGATTCCAGATTGCTGCCAAGAAGGGCAGGTGACATGCACTCATGCCTGTAACTGGCACCCCCTCAAACTGTCGCCAAGGACCCGGTAGCCCTTCACAAGATGGTGAAGTCACTTGAAGCTGGCATTGGTCTCTACCATCTACCTCCCTATTGGGGCCCTTCCCTCCCTCTTTGGTTGGGACCCTGCTCCTCCCATCACCCTTTGGTTGGTCCCCATATGTTTGAATTCTCTCAGCATAGACCCTAGGTTTCTTTCTCCCTCTTAGTCCCCAAAGAATCCTGTGTCTGACTGGTCTCAATGTTATGTAGAGTTAGAGGGTGGCGAGGTTACCTCTGTGGTGATTTGAAAATAGCTAGGAAGCAGGGCTTCAAATCAGTTCCTTCAGGTTCGAACCTCTGCTGAGAATGTGCGTGTCTAACAAGCTCCCTGCTAAGAATTTGCGTTTCCACCCCAGATATACTGAGTCAGAATCTACGTTTTAACAAGATCCCCGGGTGATTCTTACGTATAACTTCCTGGAAACTTGTTAGACATGCACATTCTCAGCAGGGAACTTGTTAGAAATACACATTCTCAGCACGGGTTTGAACCAGAACAAACTGCTTCCCAGCCCTTCTAGGAAGACAGACTTCTACCTCAACTTCCCAGTGCCTCCACTGGCACCTTCAAGGCGCCATTCCTTTGTGTTAGCTTGCGCTCTTGTTCTCAACCCTCAGGTCCTAACGCCTCCCTGTAAGTGCATTTCTAAGGACTGCGTCTACATCTTTACAATTCACAACACCCTTCCTCTTGTGGCTAGGGAGTGTCGTGCGCGTGGGGCGAGCAGCCCTATACTGACTCCTCCGTCCCCCCAGCCCACTCCTGCCCAGGAAGCAGATCCCCCGAAGCCAGACTCCTCCTACGAGGAGATGGAGACTTGCGAGGAGCGAGGCTGCCAAGGGCCGCCGAAGCCGCTGCCCCTCAAGGCCGGCCCTACCACCAAGGGCCAGGCGGGCGACGGGCCCCAACTCGCGGAGCTGCCCCCGGAACCCGGGACCAAGCGCCCCGTTGAGATAGAGCTGGAGAAGATGCGCATGGAGTTCGAGCTCACGCGGCTCAAGTACGTGCACGAGGAGAACCAGCGGCAGCGGCAGCACGAGGAGGTGATGGAGCAGCTGCAGCAGCAGGCGGCGCCCCGCCTGGTGGGTGACATTGGCCGAGAGGCCCAGGGGATGAGACGCAGGGTAGGGGGATGGGGGAGGCACAGCGGTGGACTGAGATGCGGGGCCGGGGCGGAGGGAGTGTCCCTGCCTGCACTGGGAACCCACCTTACCTGCTAGCAGCGGCGTCCACTCCTGCAGAGCCTGGAATCACAGCTGGAAGGGACTCATTGTCCACACAGGCCGCCTCCAGGCCCTTCCCTTCTGGGTCACTTGCAGAGATGGACTGCCCGCGGCTTTAGAGATGGCTGCATCACACAGAATAGCTCTGTTAGAAAGAGCTTCCATGTTGAGCTAGAAATCCAACTCTCTCACAAGAGTTGGCCCCCAGAGGGGCCCCTGAGCCACCTTGTCCACTTGATGGCCCTTTTAGTAGCTTAAGACAGGTATGCCCATGGCTTCTTTCTCCGGGAAATATATCCCCAGTCTCCAACATTTCCTCTTTGACCGGATTTCCACCATTCTCCATCCCTGTTTTCATGCCTGGGAACTTAAGTCAGAATCCCACCTACTGTCTGGCCAGTGGGTTCTGATAGAACCATCCCCTTCCTTGATCAGGCCTGCATTTGCTCTGTGGATCGCCCTGCCTTGTGGTCAGCTGAGACTTAAGACATTCTTTCACAAGGAATGTACAATTCTCCCCTAACTTGTCCTAAAAGGGGATAAGAAAACCTACTAGAGATTAGCTGAGATGTGAAGTGCTTCAAACTGTGGCTGAGCCATCATGAGCACTGGATGGTAGAAAATGTTCTTTTTTAAAGCGGTGTTGCCTAGGCTATTTAAAGTCAGACAGTCCTGGGTTAAAATCGTGGGGCTCTACCATGTGTAAGCTGAGTGGGCAAGTTACCAGACCTCTTTGAGCCTCGATTTGCTCCTCTGTACAGTAATACCTACGTCATAGGGTTGCTGTGAGTGTTACGTGGGAGAATGCGTGTAAAGCGCTTTGCAGTGAGCCTGGCACATTAGGTAACACTCAATAAATGTTAGTTATTACCATTTTTATGTACTCATGCAATTAACTTCTTGACCCAAATGCAGCAATTTACATTTATCTCTTTTCAATTTTATTGGGATGTAATATATTAGCTATGCTTCCCAGCTCTGAGTCATCCATAATTCTGAGAAGCTTGCCTTCTGTCTTTATCCAAGTCGTTGCTATAATTGTTGAAGAGGATATGCCCTCAGGTAAATACCACTAAAGCTCTCCTTACAGGTTAGCGATGTTCCATTAATCCGCATCCATGAGTTATATTTTATCCAGCTCACATTTCTCCACCTTGTCCAAAAACTATCCTGAGACACGCTGTCAAATGGTTTCCCAGAATTAAGATATTTCAGTACCTAAAGCATTTCGCCAACTGACTCGTCATTTTTTTAAAAAAAAAAAGAAAAATAGGTTTGGTTTTGCACGATTGAGTCTTAATGAACACATGCTGGCTTCTAACAATATCACCTTTTTTCTTGCTCAGAACATATCTGTTCAATTATACACTAATTGATTTTGCTGGGCCAGCTCAAGCTTATGGAGCTGAGATTTCCAGAATCCATCTTCCCCACTCCCCACCCCCCACCACCTTCTCTTTCTCTTTTCGAAAATCTAGGAAATATTTTCCTGTCTCTTAAGATTCTGGCATGTTGCCTGATATTTTTTAATTCCCATAAATAAGTTCCATTTCCAAACTTGTGATTTTTCTCTGTCCCCTGGGATAAAGTTTGTCATAAGTTAGAGCCTAGAACTACTATTTAAAGCAGATAAATGGTATTGGACTAGGCCTTTTGGTCTGTAGCTCCACCTAACCATGTTGCTTTTCCCTTTTTTTAGTTCAAAAATCTTTCTCCTTGCTGGATGAAATGGAAACCCTTGGAAACTGTATAGTTCTATCTGCTCTCTGTCCTCTGCTTAAAATATAGACCATGTAAAGTGTTTTGGAAAGTCTAAAGAATTTCATAAATGCATGTTTTGTTATCAAAATCATCATTATCACCCATCAGCATTTCAGACTGAAAGCATGCAGAATGCAGAAAGGTGACAGAAAGTCTGTGGCTCCAGAGCTGCACTGAGTCTGCAGGGAACGGTGGGGTCAGTCCAGCCTCTCCCATCAGAACACTGGGTTTCCTCCTCTGGTCTTCAACCTTCCTTGCCATTCATTTGAGAGGGAGCATCACTGTCGTAATTTTCTGCTCCCCTCCATGTTATTTCGTTGCCTTTGTTTTGGGTGGTTGTTTCAACAATGATGCCTCCAGGACCCCCCGCCTTTTGAAATAATGTGCAAAAGTGTTTTATGACTTTTGTGCATTTACAAAAGATGAGGCATTGACTTGATTTTAAAGCTCCCCCAGATCCCCTTTCTTTTTGTGGATGGATTGAAAATACTTCTTTGCGTGATTTTTTTTTTTTTTTTTGTAGCTAGTTTGGGGCATCTCAGTCCCTGCCACCTGGCTGCTTACAACAAAATATAGCATGATTTTAAAAAATATTTTAAAGAATAAACCATAGATGATGCCTTTTTAACTATAGATCAGTACCAACTTTTGCCTTAGTTAAAAGTTGATGCTTTCTATAGTTGAAATGGGGACTGTTGGATCCTTATTGTATGGATTCCAGAAAAGAGCAGCTCCCAGGCAGGATCAGCCAGACAACTCAAGCAGCTTTCCCCACAACCCAGCACTCCCAGGGTTTAGGGAGACCCCATCACCTGGCTCTTAACACCTGCCCTCAGAAGAGACCAAACTCTGGGCTGAGGGACCATAGACTGGTCCAATGTGACATGTGCCAGGAGCCAGGGGATGAGAAACAGTCATTTGTATCTGAGGGACCCCCTCTCAGTCTGCCACTGCCTGAAAACAAGGATTAATGTTGGGGCAAATCATCCAGAGAACATCCCCAAGACCCAGGGTCCAGAAGTGAGGATGTTTGAGTCAGAGAGACCCTGCCCACATATGTAACTCAGATGGGAAGTATGGGACAGGCAGAAAGGAAGGCGTTTGTCTGATAAAAGCAGGCTCAAGAAGGAAAAAAATAATGAGTCCTTCCTATGTGCCAGTTACTTTATTAGGAATTTTTCATTTATTGTCTCACTCTTCTTCCTTATGCTCTTGTGAAGTGGGCACTATTAGCCCTTTACTGAGGTAAGGAAGATAACTTGCCTGGACTTATAGTCAGGCAGGGACAGAACAGAATTGAAACGCAGATCTGTCTGGCTTTTAAGCCCAGAGCGGCCAAGCCTTGGTTTGCCAGCTGCACTGTCTTCTTTCCTCTACAGTTTTCAGGAGGGCTCCAGGATCTCCTGCTCCCCCAGAACCAGTTTGCCATGTTCCTGTACTGCTTCATCTTTATACACATAGTTTATGTCACCAAGGAGATGGTCGTCTTTCTCTTCTCCAAGCATTACCTCTTCTGCATTGCAGCCATTTTGCTCTATTTGATTAAAACTTTGTGGCCATACTTCCAAGTGCCTTTAGTCTCTCCATCACTGGGAATCCCCATTCTAGGGTGTCATCAGGACATGATCGAAATTAGCTGCCACCCTGTCTTCCTCCTCCCTTCCTGGAACCTCTTTCCCTCATGTCGTGCCTCCCTCCAGTCAGAACCTTCTCCTAGGGAAGACCTTGCTTTCAACCATTTAAACTTTAGTGTGAAGAAAAATGTTCAGGCCTCTTGTACTAAGCCTGAGTTCTCACTGTGGACGAAGATGCTTTGTCCTGAGGACTTCATTTTCGATCTGGCATGTAAAGAGCTTGGAAGTCATCACTCTCATAACAAGAAAAAAGCAGAAACTGAAAAAGAACAACTCTTCTGAGATCCCACAGAGAATTGAGGTCACAGAGCAAACCAGCACTCCAAAAACTGGAGGCACAGGTAGACGTAGAAAAATCAAAGCTTACCAGGAGCAGAAACCACCGCGAGACCCAGCATCGAGTAGGAACACTAAAAGGGTAATTGACTGACTGCTAGAGACTGAGCGTGGACTAGAGGTAAAAACTCCTGGTGGCATAGCTTTTAAGGGGAGCCCCCACATTTTATGAGTTTTACCTCCAGGAGCTCCACCAGGTTCTCACTGTGAGGGTCAGAGAAAAATCTCTCCTCACAGGGGAAGGGGAAAAATAACCATTTTGAAATAAGCCCAGAGTGCTTTGTTTTCCTTAACAATGACCTGCCCTCAAGTAAAACGAATTTACCTAAGCCTAACCAACTTTAGTTTTATCAGAGCCTAACTGAAGGGAGGGAGGGAAATACCTAACTCCAGCTCCCTCTAGCCTTCCTGTCTCACCTAAGGTATAAAAACAAAACAAAAAAGCTGAAAAGCACTTGTGAAGATCACAGCCCAGGGGCACAGACTCATTCAAAGGCTGAGACCTAATCATAGGATGATAGAACACCCCCCCAACATCAGTGGGGCTCTTATATAACAAAAGGGGGCTACAGCTGAAGAGAACTGTAAGGCTCAGACCTATTTAAAGACTCTCTGGGGAAACCCAAGAACAGGGGAGACAAAAGCAAAGGCACAAGAGGAAATTTTAGCTTCTGAACCTACAGCTACAAGAAACAGTAAGTATAGCCTAATTCCTTGCCAGGTAAACATAAAACTTCACAACAAAGGCCTATTGACCTCAGTTCCTTTTACCTAATACATCATATCTGGTTTTCAACAAAAAAATTACAAGACATGCTAAGAAGTAAAAAAAAAACACAATCTGAAGAGACAAAATAAGCATCAGAGCCAGACTCAGATATGGCAGAGATTTTGGAATTATCAGACCAGGAATTTAGACTATAATTAATACACTAAGGGCTCTAGTGGAAAAAGTGGACAACATATAATAACAAATGTGTAATGTAAACAGAAAGATAGAAATGCTATGAAAGAACCAAAAGGAAATGCTAGAAATCAAAAATGCCATAACAGAAAGGGGCTCATCAGTAGACTGAACGTGGTTGAGGAAAGAATCAGTGAACTTGAAAATATGTAAGTGGAAACTGCCCAAACTGAAAAGCAAAGAGAAAAAGACTGAAAAAATGAAACAGAATATCCAAGAAAAACAATTACAAAAGGTGTAACATATGTGTAATAAGAATGCAGAAGGAGAAGAGAGAGAAAGGAACAGAAGAAATATTCGAAGTTATAATAGTTGAGGATTTTCTAAAATTGTTCACAGGCACCAAACCACAGATCCAGGAAGCTTAAAGAACACCAAGCAAGATTAATACCAAAAAAACTACATCTAGGCATATCGTACTGAAACTACAAAATATCAAAGACAAAGAGAAAATCTTGAAAGAAGCTAGATGTGGGGCAGGGGGGACCTTACCTATAGAGGAACAAGGATAAGAAATACATTGGCTTTCTCTTCAGAAACTATTCAAGCAAAAACAGAGCGGAGTGAAAAATTTAAAGTATTAAAAGGAAAAAGTGCTGGTCTAGAATTCTATGTCCAGTGAAATTATCCTTCAAAAGTAAGGGAGAAATAAAGACTTTCCCAGACAAACAAAAATTCAGGACATTTGTTGCTAGTAGACCTGCCTCACTAGATATGTTAGAAGTTCTTCAGAGAGAAGAAGATTATATAGATCTACGTAAAGAAAGGAAGATTAGTGGGGAGTTGTGGTAGGCAGAATAATGGCCCCCTCTAAATTTGCTCATGTCCTAATCCTGGGAACCTGTGAATATGTTACCTTACATGGCAAAAGAGAATTTGCAGATGTGATTAAGTTTAGAATACTGAGATGGGGAGAGTATCCTGAATTATCCGGGCCGGCCTAATGTCATCACAAAACCCATTGCCATTGAGTCAATTCCAACTCATAAGACAGTAGAACTGCTCCATAGGGTTTCCAAAGCTGTAAATCTTTACAGTGCCACATCTTTTTCCCATGGAGCAGCTGGTGGATTCAAGCTCCCACCCTTTCGGTTAGCAGTCAAGCACTTAACCACTGCACCACCAGGGCTCCTACTGTGATCACAAGGGTCTTTAGAAGAGGGAGGCAGGAGAGTCAGAGAGGTTGTGATGACAGAAACAGGGGTCAGAGTGATGCAGGATCACAAGCCCAGGAATGCAGGCAGCCTCTAGAAGCTGCAAAAGGCAAGTAAACAGATTTTCCCCTGAAACCTCCAAGAGAAACGCAGCCCCACCCATCTGTTGTAGACTTCTGTAAGAAAATAAATTTGTGTTTCTTTAAGTTTGTGGTCATTTGTTACAGCAGCAATAGGAAACTAATACAAGACCCAAGATTCCCAGAGCTCTTTCATCTAAGACACATGTGAGGATATCATCCCAAGGCCCTTGGCAAGGTTCTGTTTAGCACTGGGCCTGAGCAGGCTGGCACAGTCAGCCATGCAGGCTTGGGGCCCTGCCCACAGGCAACACAATTAAAAAGGAGTCAGGCTGAAGCTCCAGGGAGCCCAGGACAGGCCCATCAGAACCTGAAGGGCAAGGTCTCCTTATTGCTGAGCAGTGTTTCCCTTGGGTGGGGTGGGGTGGCAAAATATGGGCATAATCTAAGGGGCATAGGGCAGCGGGAATTGAATGCCTGATTGGGCCTAGAGGACGTCATTAATGCTGCTTTATTGGAAAAGTGGGAAAAGAAAAAACTGGCACGTACCGCCTAACCTTCAAAGATGCACGTGTGCGTGCACACGCACACACACACACACACACACACACAATTACAGTCACCTTCCAGCCCAGACCCAGACTCACAAACACATGCAGACAAGCTAGCCCAAAAACAAATACACCAACTCCAACACATACACACACACAGATACAAAGCAAACAGTTATCCACAATAAATACGCACACAACCCCCCAGATAAACATGCAGCAACAACTGAAAGGAACAGACTTTGACCGCTAGGGAGCTCATGAGTAGGCTGAAAATGAAGCTACCCGGTGTGTTTGTAACGAGGAAATAGTTCAACTCCCCCAATCACCAGCTCCTCAAACCTCTTCTCCAACACACACAGACACACACACACAGACACACACACACACATGCATACATCTTGCAGACTGTCAGCTGCCCTGACCCACCAGCCCAGAAATGATGGCTGGCTGGCACGCTATGGCAAAGGAGACTTCACTCTAGTGACAATGACAATCCAGCAAAATGAGGCTGGACACAGCTGTGCAATCAATCAAGTCTTCATTGACCCCTCCTCTTGCCCGGGGCAAGGCTCTGTGTCCTTGGGTCCCATGAGTGGTGCTTGGTGCAAGCACATGAAAGAAAGAAGACTGCCCTGGGAATTGAGCGTCAGTACACATTAACACGCCTTTTAAGTCTACGGTGACTTCTCATTTTCCACCCCCATTTATATCTCTATGTGACAGGTACTTACTTAGAAGTAATAAAACTGTCATTTCTCATTAAACTTTCAACCATAGGACATTTTGCTATGGGTCACTTCTCACAAGCATCTAAAATGGTTTTTGGCATAGGATTGAGGTGGGAAGAGGAGGAGATAAGGATCTCAAGAGGTTACCGCTCACCTGCTTATCTTGTAAGACAGAATTAGGAGTTTGTAAAAAAAAAAAAAAAAAGCCAAGTGCCATAAAGCCATTTAGTCCATCCCCCTATTGTCAGACAGAACTGGACATGCATTTTCCTTTAAAATCTTTAGAGACTTAACTCCTTTGACCTGTTAAATTAGCATCCCTCATCTCACACCCTTACGTTAGACGAGGCGTGGAATCTCACCTCTATACCTTTTCTGTGGTTTAAGACTAACATCTGCCCTCTGGGAAAATGAGAAGAGCTCACCGCCACTCTCGAACCTGGTGCAGATCTCCTGGTACAAATGTGAAGCAGAAATTCAGAAGGGAAAGAGATGAAGGTGGAGAGAGACGCAAAAGATAGGAAAGAGGCACAAGTGAGGGGTTACCAAGCAGGCAACAAGTCAACATACAAGTACTTCCTGAGCACCTCCAATGTGGACACGCTCCACTAAAGGCTTTGTGGAGGCTACCTTCACCACGAGCCTAGGAGGTAGGAATTTATATTATCTCCATTTCACAGTTGAGGATACTGAGGCTCAGAGAGACTAAGTGACTTACCCAAGATCACCCCAGCTCATAAGTAGCATAGCTAGGATTCAATTCCAAGCCTGACTCCAAAGTTTATGATCTTTCCATGCACCCATGCTCCCAAGATCCTGCCTTGGAGAACCTCACAGCCTTACTGGCCAGATGAGGCTAACACACATCAAAATGCAAAGCAGCTATCAGCATATTGACCTCAGTCAGTGATGAAGATTAGAGAAGGAAAGTTTTCCGGAGGACAGGGTGATAAGGGAAGCCTTCTCAGGAGAGCAGCCCACAAGTGCAGGTAAGCCTGGAACAGGTAGGTAGGAGGAGGGAGAAGTCACACAAACTAAGGCCAGGGTGGGAATGTAAAATCTGTATTTAGGAGAAAGAGAAAGATCGTCCTTGCTCCAGTGAATGATATAAGGGTAACAGACTTGGAAAAATGTTTGGGGCCAAATTTTCTAGGGTCTTGAATGATGGGCTGAGGAGCAAGAACTTAATCCCTTGGGAAAGAGGGAATTCCCAAAGGTTGTAGAGCAAGAGAGTGATGACAAAAAAAAAAAAAAACAAGAAATAACTCCTGTCCGTATCCTTGCCTTGATCTTCCCTTCCATTTCTAGTCCAGAACATTCTTCCTGAGGTCCTGAGGATGAGGATTGCATTCAGTAGGTCAAAGAAACCCAGCCACAGGGCTTAACCAAATAGAAGCTTATGTTGCTCACTTACTCAGAAGCCCCAGGTAGGCAGTCCAAGGTTGGTGAAACTGGTCTAGAAGGTCATAGAGGACCCAGGCTGCTTCAGCTCCACCATCCTTGACCAGCTGCTGTCGAGTCAG